CCGTCAAGCCTCCAACGTTGGTGACCCCGATTACCACTACAGCAAGACACGAGCCGAATCACACTATCACAACTTGTAACCCCGCCCACTTGAAAGCTTTCCATCCAGTCCGTAACTCGCCGCAGTCAGCGTCACAAGCTGCGGCAAGATATGTTCATAAGCATGCGTAACCCACTATCATCGCGTTAGCTCTATCATCTTGCACCTAGTCAGAAAGATGCGGATACTCACATCGCATATCAACGGCCTCGTATCCCTCGGATCTACGATCTCCTCTACCCCGAACTTGTTCGCATAGCGTATTGGATTTCTAACCGGCTCGAATTTTTCTAGAAGCTCATTCATCAGTTGGGTCCTCGCTTCTGGATCCTTCGCGCCAGCGACGTCGAGTTGACGTTTGTATGCCGCTTCAATTCCACCTTCGAGAGGGAGGGAGCCCCAGTCTGCTGATGGCCTAGCGTCGGTGGGTCGGTGAGAATGATACGCATAGAGTGAGGGTAAAGGTTGAACGTACCATGCCACACGGGTGTTCTTCCCATCCTCTGGGTCGGCGAATACGCTTCCTGCGACACCGAACGCACGACGAACGATGACGGTGTATATCGGAATTGAGGCATTATATATCGCTGCCATTGCCGTGGCGCCATGTCGTATTGTGGCCATTCGTTCGGCGAGAGAACCTGGGTTACGAAGATGAGTCGAGGGGTATGAATGAGGAAGACAGGTACGTGCCTATAGCAAAACCGGGCTGGTCAACGAGATTGAGGATGGGTATACTGTTGAAGATGGTTTAGCAGTCAGGAATGCCCGAGCAATACGTTCAAGACTAACTGGAAATGGTTGCACAGGTTGACGAAGCGTGTCACTTTCTGTGACCCAAAGGCATCAATGGCACCTGTAAAGAAAGCTGAGCAATGAGCCAGTCTTGTGGGATGATGCACATACCGCCATTGACGGTGCAATCGTTTGCAATGACACCCACAGTCTTTCCTGCCATACGAGAGAGACCAGTGATGACATTATTCCCCCATGTAGCTCCAATCTCAAAGAAAGTGCTCTTTCTATCACCGCCGTCCGTATTGCTACCATCGAGATCCACGATAAGCCCAATCACCCGCCTCATATCGTACATCCTCCCCCTCCGCTTTGGAATGATGCGAATCAACTCTTCTTCCCTTCGATCGACTGAATCGTTCGCCTGCGTGCTTGCCGGTAACGAAAAGATATTGGAGGGTAGGAAGGAAAGGAAACGCCTTATCTCGAGAAAGGCCTCGAGTTCGGTGTTGACAACATTATCGACAGTTCCATTCCGTCCATGGATCTCCCAACCCCCAAGCTGTTCCTTGGTGAGGTTCTCAAAAGTAGCTTCTTTGACTACGGGTGGTCCGGCCGCAAAGAGCTGGGGACCTACTTGTCAGCGACGTTCGAAGACTTCGAGTGTGTAAGAGCAACACCCACCTGGCTTAATCCGCGTACCATAACGCTGAAGTGACTGGTGACGGCTTTCGCTGCCGCCAGACCAACGACTGGGCCGAGTAACGCTGATGCTACTGGAATAACAGCCATGGCATCGAGACTTTGTCCGAGACCAGCGAGAGTGGGTATGTATGTGGATCCAGATGAGAGGTCTGAACATATGGGTATGTTGTGAACGCAAATTCAGAGAAAGATGGGAGGGTCTTACAGGTAGTCACGCTCCCTCCACCGCTTGAGCCGTCAAGGAGTCGGATCTATACCCAAAATCATAAGTTATAGTAGCGCTTGAGGTTGTTGAGTGAGACGCACTAGTGGAACGCGGAACTTTCTGGCTAGTGTCTAAAGTAGGGTTAGTTCAACGGATAACTGTGAAAGAACAGTACTCGCCTCTCCATGAGGCGCTTTGTGGGCGATACCTCCATCTGCATGTCCACCTCTAACACTGAAGTCGTCTGCTGTGACGAAAACCTTCTTCCCATCGAGTCTACCCCAGCCAGTGAGTAGGTTCCTGCCCACGTTTTCGTCAACATTTCATAAAGAACCAGATACATTGACATCTTACGCAGGAACGAAGGAGACCAGTTCTCCTGTTTTCTCATCGTATATTGGCTTTCCGGTCACAGAACCAACCTCGCGGAAGGAATCCTTATCTAATAACGCCTCGAATCGCTCGCGAACCCATAGCTTTCCAGCCTGCTTTTGTCTAATATAGCCTGTTGTTCCTGGTCAGTCCATCTTCAAGTGCTCGTCAAACTGTGATATACCTGGATCGGAGAGATTAGCTGTGCTAACGACTCGTTGTTGAGCTCTCAATTCTGCTACGCGGTCCTGTAACAGCGGTCTAGTCAACCGAGAGGATATGAGTGAGTGAAGTACTGTTACACGCACCTCCCAAGAAGACTCGTCGTATTTCTCGTCTTTTCCCATGTTGTGAGACGTTCTAAGTGTTCATTTCCAAGTTTGAGGACAAGATAAATGAATGAGTAAATGCCCAGGTTCGATTGAGGTCATGGGAGGAGAAAGACCGGTCGTTTGCTTGCCGAACCGAACATGATAGTTTCTTATCACGACCACCATGTCATCAGACCTCTTGGTTGCAGTTCCCTCAGTCTTGTACTCCTCGTTCGTGAACGATGCCTAGGGTTCTCGTCGCTAACAGAGGAGAAAGTACGTGCTTGACTTGAAATTTCTGTATATTCAGAAGCTGATTCAGTCTCTCAGTTGCCATCCGAGTGTTTCGTGCAGCCGTTGAGCTAGGGTGGAATACAGTTGCCCTATTCACGGAAAACGACTCGAGTCATGCAACTTACGCAGATGAGAGGATTCAACTGGATGGTCCTCTGGACTATATGAACGTTCAGAAGATCGTAGAATGCGCCATTAAGTGAGTTCTCATCCACCATCCATCTACCGGATGATCCAACTTCATTTCTAGCTCCAAAGCGACCCATCTCCACCCCGGCTATGGGTATCTCAGTGAATCTCCAGAGCTCGCATCTGCATGCTTTTCAGATAACATCGTCTTCATTGGACCTTCACCTGAAACTCTACGCATCGCCTCGGACAAGATGCGCTCCAGAGAACTTGCTATCTCGCTGAACGTTCCCGTCGCTGCCGGAAAGCGCGTCAACTCTGCAGAGGATGTGATTGAACTGGCGCGAGGTGTTCAATTTCCCGTGATGATTAAGGCGCTTGACGGAGGTGGTGGTAGAGGGATTCGGATTTGTGAAAGTGAAAACGAGGTCGGCGAAGCATTTAAGAGGTCAGTCTATTGCCCTTTCTCACCATTCATGGGTGCTTAATGAGCTCGCCAGGTGTCTTGGGGAGAGTCCATCGCGCCAGCTATTCGCAGAGAAGGCACTCAAAGGCCCAGGATGGAAACATGTCGAGATTCAAATTGTGGGGGATGGACACGAAGTTGTGCACCTGTGGGAGAGGGAGTGCAGCGTTCAAAGAAGGTACGCTGCAGTTCACACTATGATATTCGTCGCTCTCCTTACGCGGTGTGCAGATTCCAGAAAATTGTCGAGACTGCCCCGTCGTCCCTACCTCGGTCCTCTGTCCAACCTTTAATCGACTCTGCAATGAAAATGGCTGCAGCTCTGCAGTACAGAAGCCTCGGAACATTTGAATTCATGGTCAATGCAACAACTGAGAACTGGGTATTCTTAGAGATTAATCCTCGGGTGCAAGTAGAGCACACGGTTACAGGTGCGTTCCATCGTCGTTGCTCCTTCCTCATTCGGAGCTGACCTTCCTTGCAGAGGAGATAACGAACACAGACCTCGTGCAAGCTCAGCTCAAGCTCTCGCTCCCCTCCAACACTCTATCCTCCCTATCTTTATCGTCCAAGCAAATGCTCCCGACCGGTTACGCCGTCCAGCTACGTCTTACCGCTGAAGATCCTGCAAAGGCTTTCCAGTTATCTCCAGGAGCTATACGTCCGGAAGATATCGCATGGCCCGCAGGCCGAGGAATACGTATCGATACTTGGCTGTCCTCCCTCGAGGGCCAACTCTTCACAGTTGGCACAGATTTCGACTCCTTGCTGGCGAAGGTCATCGTGCATGGTGCTTCCTTCGAAGAGGCGACTCAGAAGGCCAAACGCGCTCTGAAGGAGTTGAGGTTGAACGCAAACGTGCAGACGAACGCTGCGGTCCTTCATGGCCTTTTAGAGCATCCGGATTGGAGTAGCGGGGGGATAGATACCCTCTGGTTGGAGAGGAATCTCGATTCCGTTTTGGGTTTGGGGAAACCTGCGACGTCTAATTTCCAAACCGGCGTAGCTAGCGCTGTTCCGACCTCCACTACCTCTTCTGCATCTTCATACGTGACCCTCCAGCCAGGAACCATATTCCACCTAAACCTTTTCTCGAACGAGAAGCCCTCCGATACATCTACCTCGCACACGATGACCCTCTCCTCCATCGCTCTGAACACGTTCCCCGAACGATTATCAGGCACTCTCCAAACGTCCTTCAGCGGACTCGGAGTCGTCAACTTCGATCTATCGCAATCCACTTCTTCGGCTTCTACCGCGGCACTCGAGCTTGCCGATCCTAACAACCCCAGTCATGTAGGCTCGCCATTGACTGGGAAGGTTGTCGAGTTACACTCAGCGCTTTCTGGTAGCGATGGAGGAGGAAGGATTCGAAAGGGGGAGACGATTGCAGTGTTGAGTGTTATGAAGATGGAGAGTGTGGTTAGTGCACCCAGGGACGGATGGGTTGCGCGCGTTCCGAAGGGGGTGAAAGTTGGTGTTGTTGTGGGGGAAGGGACCCTCCTGGCAGTGTTTGAGGATCGAAGTCGGTTATAGAGGTGTTTGTTGGCAAAGGCTAGTCACCTGTGTGTACGTCGTGTAAACGTTGACTTGAAATTCTAATTTACGCCGCTGTGACCGCATCAATATCGATCCTATAGTTGACGAATTCATGTTCGATGTCAGCTTCTCTCGTCGGCACCTCATCGTCTCTCTTTTGCTATCTCTGGCTGGGACGAAAAAATGCAATCATATTCGAACACGATGACCACCGCAGGGGTCGAACCTGCAATCTCCTGATTACTTTCACATCGTAGTCAGACGCGATGCCATTTCGCCAGGCGGCCAGTGCTTAACAAAATATATGTACCAGCCATGATGGGCAGAATGACCCACAGAACCAAAAAGAGATCCGAGTCACAGAAAGACAGGGACTCCAAGATTTATCATTTGCACGATACTAGTAGCGCCAGTAATGTCTCCTCTCTGTCTCCTCTCTCTCTCTCGTTTTCCGACTCAAAAGCCGAATGTCCGATAACCACTACTAGGTGCTCACGTGCGATTCTGATCCTGAATTCCAAGTCTGCTCCTTACGATCACCATCGTCGGGACTTGCTTGCATAGTCCCTCACCATGAGATCTCTAGACTTCGAGGCCCAGCTTTCAAGGCCTCAGGGGCTTCTCCTTAGTCGACTATGAACAGAAACGTGTTTCAATAACGTTCAACCTCAAACGAGGACTTCAAACTCGGTCGGGCTGTCACTGTCAGTATCTACCAGTAATTCCCCGATATACGGTCTTCAGGTGGTTTTCTTATCTCTCCCTCTGTATGTATTTTTCTTTTTTTTGGTGCTCCAGACAGTCAAACTACTTACAAAACCCAAGCTTGACCCTCCGTAGGCTGTCGTTCCAAAGAACATGAATTTTTGTCGTTGCTATATTCGTAGTACCCTATCGCGAACGCACTACGACGATCGCGGAAGCAACTTCTCGGCCTGTGATCGGACACTATCAGATGTGAACGACAATGTGCGTGTATAAGAGGCATCCTTGCAAGCTCTCCGCTCAGCTATCTCACCAAGTCTTCTTTTCTCTTTTCTTCCTTTCGGGTTTTCCTTCCCTCTAATTGACTCCTAGTCTTTCTACCTGAGCTTTACGCTCTAATCCTTACGCCACGACGCTGCGTTCACGCCTGTTCACACATCAAAATCCGGACCTCAACAAACCATGATTTCCTTCCAATTTCTCCTCTCTCGGCTCCTACTGGTAGGAGTCCTGGCTACGAGCGCCTCTGCTTCCGCCGCCCCAGACGCCCTTGAAGTCGACATGCGCTTGCCGCGTAGCCCTCCTCTGCGTTCTCAAGGCGAATTGAGAATCGTAAATGCGGAGCTATCCCCAGATGGATTTTCCCGTATAGGTGTATTAGCGGACGGACAGTTTCCGGGACCGTTGATTACTGCTACAAAGGTGGGCGTCTACTTCACTCCCCCTCATATCACTGTACTCACCCTGTACAGGGCGAAGTTCTTGATATCACAGTCTACGACGAGCTTGTGGATAACTCGTTTTTCAAGTCGACGTCCATTGTGAGTTCCGATTGTTTTCTTAACCTTTTATCTCCTCTCTGAACGATCCTTTCCATGAAGCACTGGCACGGTCTCCGTCAACAAGGCGTCGCATGGGCCGATGGTCCAACCCAAGTCACTCAGTGCCCCATCTCTCCTGGCCATTCGTTCAGGTACCGAGTGAGGACGGACGATTTGACGGGGACCTATTGGTATCATTCACATATCCGTGGGTGTTGCTGTTCACCATTCTGAGAACATGGCCCATAATATTTTGCATTTCAATGCCTCGTTTAGGTGGACAATACTGCGATGGCCTTCGCGGTGCACTCGTTATATACGACCCAGAAGATCCACATGCGTGTTTGTACGACGTGGACGATGAGAGCACGGTCATTACGCTTGCTGATTGGTATGTCCGAGATTTTATAACTCTGGTCTTGTCTATGTCTGATCTTACGCTTGACGTACAGGTATCGTAAGTCCTTGGAAATCTCACATATCTTCCGAGGATTGGCATAATCTAATAGCCAATGGTGCACGATAGACAACCCATCGACTTCGTTCTTCCAACCCGGTGCTCGGGTGTACGTACTACGTGCTCCAATATCCTGATGCTCTCGGAACTGAATTTTGACGATCTACTTGTAGCCAAGCGAATTCGACGTTGATCAATGGTCTTGGTCCGTCCTTCTCATATACCGCTGGTGTTCCGCTCTTCTGATCTCCTAGAGCAGGCCGTTATCAAGGTGGTCCAGCAACAGCTCTTGCTGTCATCAATGTTGAGCAGGGTAAACGGTTAGTGACTCATCTGTCCTTCTTTCCCTAGCCATTGCTGACGCATGCCCCTCATTTCTCTAGTTACCGTTTCCGCCTGATTGCGATGGTCTGTGATCCCAACTACATCTTCTCAATTGATGGACATACCATGACGGTCCGTCACTTACCTTCTCTTGTACTCCGAGTCTTATTATACATGGCTTTAGATCATCGAAGCGGACGGAATAAACCACGAAGCTTTGGAAGTTGACTCGCTTCAGATATTCGCTGCCCAGCGGTACTCCTTCGTCGTGAGTTCCCTTCGTTTTCTACACAATATCTAGTGTCCTAATGGATGCATGGCAAACTCCTAACTTAGCTCAATGCTCAACAACCCATCGACAATTATTGTAGGTTGATTTCCTCGGCTTTAATCTTGCTTTTCATTCCCCTTTCTTATTCAATCATACAGGGATCCGAGCCAACCCAAGCGCAACAGGCATTCCCGGATTCGAAGGAGGCATCAACTCTGCTATCCTTCGATACAAGGGTGCACCAGAGCAGGAGCCTACGGTTGGTAGGAATGTCACGTCGAACTTGTTACAGCAGACAGATCTTCATCCGTTGGAAAGCCCCGGTGCGGTATGTATACATTTGTTTATGACCTCTGCTCCTTGAGACACTCAAAGCTGATGAATGGTAGCCCGGAGAGCCAGTGGTCGATGGTGCTGATGTGAATTTAAACCTTGCAATTAGCTTCGTGAGTACTCTTTCGTTGTTACTTTGTCCCGTTCAGACTTCTCACATACGCGAACAATTGGATAGAACTCCACCGCTGGAAGATTTCAAATCAACGGACAGACCTTCGTCCCTCCCACGGTTCCAGTGTTGTTGCAGATTCTCAGCGGTGCGAAGAATGCTCGTAAGTGACATTTTCTTCGCATGGTTCATACAAACGACATCGATTCATTATTCTTCCTCATTTCTCCCCTTAGAGTCCCTCCTCCCATCCGGATCGGTCTATGAGCTACCGCTGAACAAGACTATCCAAATATCGATGCCGAATCCAGATGGTGTCGGTTCTCCCGTACGTCCCACGACTCGTCTACTCCTTCCTCGCATTCTTGAGCTTATTCACGTTGTTCAGCATCCTATGCACCTTCACGGGGTACGTCTTTATATCCTTACTAGACCGATCTCGAGTTCTCAAGAACAGGCTTTTTGTTTTTAGCATCACTTCGACGTCATTCGTTCAGCCGGAAGCAGTACATACAACTTCAAGAACCCTGTCCGCAGAGACGTTGTCAGCGTCGGAAATTCGTCCACGGATAATGTGACAATCAGGTTCAGGACGGACAACGCAGGGCCTTGGTTCCTTCATTGGTACGCTGTCAGACGGTGGGCTGTGTTTCTGGGTTTGTCTGACAGATTCGCGTCTTACAGCCATATTGAGCCACATCTGGGCTTGGGTCTCGCAGTTGTGATGGCAGAGGGTATTCAACAAACACCTGAAGCTAACCCTGTTCCTGGTACGTTGATTGATTTTGAGCTCAGAAACCCAAACGCTCACTCGGATATTCCTGTTCTATAGAAGAGTGGAACGACCTGTGTCCTGTGTACGAGGCTACCAAGGCGAATGACCTGCCGCTTGATTAAGTATGGGGATCGCGTCGGGGTCTAAACACTGGGAGAGCGTTTTGTACTTTCAGCTTTTTCTATGGGTTTTATTTTTGATTTGGCTTGGAGCGGGCTCTGGGCTTGGGTGGATGATAAAGGAAAATTGGATTACCGACTTGCTCTACAGTTGACGAAGCACTCGTTTGGATACTTATGCTATATGCTAGGCTCAAGAATATGGTTTAATATATGGGTACACTACATATAGTCCGAGTACATGATTGGAATACACACAAGTGGCAAACCTAACAATTCCTCTTGACTTGTGGGTGGCTATGGGTCCCAAATCGACGCCGGAACTTGGAAGCCATCACATTTAATTTATGATAGTCACGTGGAGACTTTCTCCGCGCTTCTCTCTCTTCAAGTTCGTCCATGATGCGCACCATACATTTCCTACCAGTCGCTGAATAGTACTTCGCCGTGCGACATTGCGGAGAGAACAATCCCGTCCGGCCTAGAAATAGTCACCCCGAAGTGGCCAAAACAATATCCTAGAGCGACAGTCGACATTGCCGTACGAATTGACTCCTCTTGAAATTACTTGTAACTACTGCGGTAATGGGCAGCTTGCTGGTAGTTGGTACGTCTTCCATGCGGGATCCATATGGAAAATCCACTCTAAATTCAAGCAATGATCTACGTGTGCTCACGCGACGCCGGTGAGTCCGCGTTGTCCGCTCTGTATTCTGCGGTGGCTATCGAACCCGTTGCATTCCTTGGCTGTTTGAACTTGAGGGCGCGCCGCGGCGAGTGATAAATATCTGGAGAGTCGGACTTGGGTGGCAAACCGCAGCTTTACAGATAAAAAAAAAACAAATATCGAGGAAGCCTGGGCTTCTCGTCTGTTCGAACTTCTTTCAAGCTTATCAGCTGATAGAGATCCCACCTCCACCTAGACTTCAGAGTCTCGACTGTTTCCAAGTACAACAAACCATCAGCGCTGGCTAGGCTATATTCACTTGGTACTCTACCCAGTCCCCAATCTCACCGAATCCGCCGTACGATCACTGATTGGTATCACAGCTGACTCTATGTACCCATAGCAGTGTCAATCCGTTCGTGCAGTCCCAAGTACGTACATATTCATAGAGAGAAAAAACTATCCCCACAAGTCGACAGATGACCCACCTCGGTCTTAGGCAGGAGAAAACCCCGGACACTCGGATTTCAAGTTGTTTGCGGGCTCAAGCGCTCAGGAACTTCTAACTGGGCTGGTACTCCGGTTCGCGCGTAATGAACTCGCCCAGCAAACAGAATCCCATGAAATCGCCGCGATATGATTGGTTCAAAAATAACTCGATCGTGGTATACTCAATCACCATCTGAGTGAACACCGACCGTGT